TCAAATGCTTTTCCTCCATGTTGAGATGGTAATGATGTTGTTTGTCTTTCCTTCTGTTATGTGGTTAAAGCAACTTGGCATTAACCATTGGTAATGATATACCAATACCAGGTATTATCATTTTTTAAAAGTCCTTGCTAATTTGATAAGCAAGGAATAATATATCTTTGTTTTAAGGGATAATTTTTAAAACTGGTACTTTGATCCTAATTTTTACTAACCAGTTTTTCCTTAATAAATTTCCTGTTCATGTATAAGAGCTTCTTAAAGCTCTTTTTAAAGTAGAAGAATGCACAGTTACATCTCCTTTCTAAAACCACAGCTCTGTTGGTTATGGAAAAGACTTGGTGGTTGTTTTAGTTAGGGAAGGATGATGAAGATCTGAACTGATCTGTGGCAAAGTGGATTCAAAGTGGAGAAGATAGGAGAGGAACAACTGAAGGGCTGGATAATTGAATATGTTAACACGAGGGAGAGAAGATGAGGCTCACTTTTGCACTGTGGACACCTGGGTGACTAATGAGAATTTGGAAATCCAGGAGGGTAAAGGAATACGGAAGAATATGCTGAGTCTGATTTTTGTGCACGTTGAAGTACCTGAAGACATTGAAGTCATCTGCTGGTAGTTAGTAATATGGTCTGATTCTTGCTCAGCAGAAAGGAGAGGGTTTGGAGAGAGAAAATTGGGAATCAAGCCAGAACTGTAAAAGCTTTAGAAGGATTTGGATAAGTAAATGAATTTTAATTGCCCTTGGTTATAAGAGAACCTAGAAAAGCTTGGGGTTCTGAGAGTAGACTTCCTTGAAGGCAGCCATGTCATTTCACAAGTTATTCCCTGATAATAATTGTCCTAATCTAGAATGGTCACTGCAAGATATTAAATTGGTCACAGATAATATGATGAGCCCAGAGAAATGGTGCCCACTATCAAGAAAGGAAATCCCGGGGCCCTCGAGTGTCTCAGTCGGTTAAGTGACTGACTCTTGATTTTGGCTCAGGTCATGGTCTCATGATTTGTGGGATTGAGCCCCATGTCGTGGTTAGCGCAGAACCTGCTTGACATTCTCCCTATCCCTCTCTCTGCCCCTCCCCAGCTCACACATGGTGTGCTCACTCTCTCTCTCTCACAATAAATAAATAAATAAATAAATAAATAAATAAATAAATAAATAAATAAATATTTAAAAATAATAAATGATAGATCAGCCTTCTTTTTTATAGAATCTTGAGCTGTAAAATTTGATCAGAAATAGTTTTAGTAAAATGGAGATCTAATAAGCCATTTAATTTTTTTTAATGTTCGTACTGTCATAGCTGTTTTCTTCATGTGGTGCAAAATAACAAGACAGACCATTTGGTCAAACTCTATCTGCTGTAGGTGTTTCTTACTGTTGGTTTGTGATTTGTCTTTGATGTGTCAGTTTTTGGCTGATGAGTAATTGGCCCGGGTACTGAAAACTTGTTGGAGTCAAGTGCAGTCTTGAGCATTCCATGTGAATGAAGCATTTCATTTCTGCAACCCAGAGAACCCAGTATGTCACTTCACTTCATTTCAGTTGGTAAACTTGTCAATTAGCCGCATTTGAAAAGTGATTTTTGATTAGTGCAATCAGTAAACATGGAATCTTTCCTGTGATTGCCATGCTGATTAGGTAAATTGTCACTTGAGGAGCTATTGGTGAAGCCTTGGTTTATATGGCCTTAGAGCTTTAGAAAAGAGATAAGTTTTTAAAGACCAAAGGAAAAAATTAACTGTCATTTTTCCTCTCTCGCCTGTGCCTTTCTGAAGTGCAATTCACTGCTTCAGAATTTTTTTTTCTCCCTCTCAAATGGATCTTCTGTTAGAGCCATACAAATGAATGATAATAAGTTTGTTTTACCTTCTACTTCATTACTTATCAGCCAGGAAATATTTCTGCTTTATGAATACTTAAGGGCTATATATATTTCTCAGAGCCACACGAAGAGATCTGTTTAAAAGTAGCCTTAAAGGTTTTCTTTGATCCTTTTTATTTTTCTTTTATGGGTTGAAAGCAAGAGATGTTTTAATAATTGTGTTAGAATTTTTACGTCATAGGAAATTTGCTTAGATTTTAACAAAAAACTATAGTTTTTGCATGTGCTGAGTTTGCTTATGTAAAAACACTTGTTCTGGAAGTGAGAAATAGTAAAAGCAAAGTAGAGTGGGAAGTACCTGTAATACTAAAAGTGATGGAATAGGGACTTTGGCCATTTGTCTAGGCACTTAGAGTTATATGAGTAGACTATTGAGAGGGTTCCTTCTTCCCAAAGAAAGTATTCATAGCTAATGAACTTTATATTCCAGTTCTACTTACAGATCTTGTTGTGCTTAATCTAACCAGTAGCGTATTTGAACCTAATCAACATGTGTTCTTGATCATGGTGACTTTCCCTCCATTGGTACTGTTTCTAGGAGAAGATATACAAGCTTTCTTTCTGTCTTTATTGGTCATGAAACATTAGGATAAGCATTTCTGAAGGTTTTTGTTAATGTAGATGTATCTTTCTGTTACCTTCACTTGATTTTAAATTTATTAGGGATCCCGTTTGGAAGCTTCTGTTAAGTACCATGCAGAGTTTGTATTCTGTGGAACCAGAATCACAGAATTCAGTCTTCATGGTTAAAAAAAGGGCATGTTTCCAGGGTTAATTACCACTGTGATCCTGGGACATGGACATATGAAGTACAGAGCTATACAGGGATCAAATGAAATTCACTGTATTTCCTTTGACTTTTGTTAAGCTAATTTTCTATATGTGAGACACTTAAAATACTTCTGGAAACATTTAAACTAATTCTCACTAAACGAATTTGTGTGCAATATATGAATAGACCAATGCACTTCAAGTTTAACAAGGTAATGATCAGAGAAAGTGGCGCAAAAGTTGATTTTACTTTCAGTAGATCACTTCCTCATAAATGGTAATGTGTTGAAAGTCATGTATGTTTTGAGGTAAGTGTGTCTTATGTTTTTCCATAGGAATAAACCATACAAATGATGATTGCTGTTTTTGTAAAAATTTCTGGTTTTACCTCTTAGGATTATGATTTTTTTCTGATTGTGTTTGGTCTGTAGTAGTGATTCAGAAGTTATTCTGGGCCTGTAGAGATCCTTTTTGCCCTGTTTTCTGTGGGTTGTGTGGTAAGCCTCGTGAGTTCCCATTCAGGTTTGGAATTTCTAATGACCACTGTGAAAACTCCTCAGCAGTGTTCCTCAATTTGACCATTACTAGTCTGGTTTTAAGAGAAGAAAAGAGACTTAATTGAAATTGACTAGAGATACCACATTTTCATTCAAAATGGGTTTCTGCATGAAAGTAATGGTGGTGAAAGTTTCCTGCTCCTTTGTAAGAGAAGCATCTCTTCTGGGTTTGGCTGCTGGACACTCAGGCTGGCCGAGGAGCAGTAGGCTATGGTTGCACCCCTGCCCTGGCCAAGGGTCGCCTCTCCACGTAGGAAACTTCCTTCAGGTGGCATAGTCAACCTTGTCGAGGCCAGGGGAGTCCAAGGCAGTAGTAGTGGGTTGTTCACACTGGAATCATGTGAACAGCCAGGTCCTCTACTTGTACTTGTTCCATATTCTCCTTTGTGGGGCTTTTAAGCACAATTTTACTTTTCTTTTTCTCCGTTTTTTGTTTTTTTTTTTAAAGTAAACCTAGACTGTGTTTTTTTGGTTCCTAACCAGAGATGAGCTTTCATTTCTTCTTTCCTTTAAGAAAGTAATTTTGAAAAGCATGTTTCTAGTTTGTGTTTCCATTAAAATGTGAGCCTGAATACATTATGGTAAGCCTTGTTGTCCTTGGGTCTTGGGAGTCTGGAGGAGGTTACTGTCCTCACACAGTGAACTCATTAGACAACTCCTGGAACCAGCTGTTTTAATTAGGTCACACACGGACTCCACTAAAGAAGGGTGGCCAAGGTGACTGTGAGACTGGAGACGGGAATGGAGTGGCAGTTGGTTAACACTGACCTTCTGAGCCACTGAGTGCCTTCCTGACCAGTGTTTGGGGCTGCTCCTTTCAGCTCCTTTACATGCAGAACCAGGAGCCATGTAATTGTTTCTTGGAGTTAGATATTGCCAGTTCAGCTTTGTGTTAGGGGAAGAGGTTTGACTCAGAAAACAATAGGAAAGTGGGCGGTCCCTTTATTAGCATCTCTCTGGCCTGTGTTGGGAGAGATGTGTGGGCTACACTTTATAATAGCTAGGTGAGGGCAGGGTTCCTTCCAGTTGCCGTGCTTAGGGGGAAAATTTCAGGATTTCTATTGACGTTACTATTCTTTCAGTTTGTATTTATGGAAAAGAACCTAAATCTTTACCTTTGTTTTGCACAGTATTTAAAATAAAAAATGTGAAAAATATATACCTTAACATACACATGCACACATACATAGGCAGTGAGAGAGAAATGAGAGTATAATGACCAGGGTTCCTAAAACTATGTTTCATTATCAAAGGAAAAATAATAAAGCAAAACATTTACTGACCCAGTTGATTTTATATCTTTGTACATTTGCATTGTGTATAATTATGCTAGTTTATTTGGTTTATATTCAATCTTAGATTTTTTTCAAGAATTTTTAATCACAAAAATATATAGGTAGCTGAATCATGATTACTTCTTAATTGGATTGTGTTTGTTGTTTTTGTTGTTTTGTTTTCTTTTTTTGGTGTTGAGTTGTAGAAGTTCTTTATATGTTTTAACCCCTTATTGGATAAATGATTTGCGAATATCACTAGGTTGTCTTTTTTGTTTTGTTGATTGTTTCCTTTGCTGTGCAGAAGCTTTTTATTTTGATGTAGTCCCAATAGTTTTTGTTTTTGTTTTTGTTTTTGTTTCCCTTGCCTCAGGAGTCATATCTAGAAAAAGGTCCTGTGTCCTTTGTCAGAGGAATTACTGCCTGTGTTCTCTTCTAGGGTTTTTATGGTTTTGATTACATCTTAAAATTTTCTGTTAACCCTTCCCTGTTTATTTTCCAGATATGAGGCCCCAGGATTCCTGGCGGGGTCCTCCTCCCCTTTTCCAGCAGCAAAGATTTGACAGGTAATACTAAAGCAGACATGACTTTTAAGTATTTTTCCACATCAACATTTGAGGTTTGGGCTTTCTCCATGGTTTGAAATGTACTTTGTTCCCTCCAAACAGTTTCTGTTGTGTCTGTTCTTTAGACACAGATGGCTAACACGTTGAAGTAAAAGACTCCTGTTTATATACTTTCCTACTTTTCTTGGTCCTTGGTCTTTTATTTTATTGAATGTTTTAAGGTGCCCTGAAAAATGCAACACAGAGAGCTTAAAATTGTATTAGATTTTGGTCAGGCTAAACAAATTTCTTTTTAGAAGGGTTGCGCAGCTTAATGAGGCATAACTAATGGTGTTCCACTTTTATCATTTCTGTGCAGGCAACACAGCATTAGTACAGACCGACCATTGATTCTTGCTACAAACCTCTTGAAGTCCTAATCAGCTTCTTTGGTACAACTTTTTCAGGGCTGACAAGCCTATTGTAGGGCAGTGTCACTGTAGGTCAGTAGTTATTAGTTGCCACTGAAAACAGTTTCTTTAACTACTTAAGACTGAACTGAATTAAACGCAGAAGGGACTCAGAAGAGGATTATGGGATCTGCAGTCTAATAAGTACTGTGGACTAGGAAGAGTGTGACATGGTTTAATAACGAGGGATGTTTGACTTGTGTTCTTCCATTGATAAGTTGTGTGCTCCTAAGTCAGGTGGTCTCTGCACAACAAGACCGCTAGGCATGTTATGAATAATTATAGTAACATCTGTAGGATAATTTTTTAGAGGGCGTTTTTAAGATCTATCATTTTATGCTGGTTTTGCCAGCATCAGTAAATGCAGAAACCCAATGAAGCCCATACTAAGGCTTCCCTCTTTGCCTTCCCAGTTCTAATCTGTTTTGTTTTTCTCGCCTTTGCCGTTTTAGCATTCTGATGTGTTCATATCTGAAATGAATAAAATGTGTTAGGAACAGGGTTATAAATGATGCTCCCCTTTTAAGAAACCTTTCTTTAGACACTCTCAGATATCATTTCATTATTTTTTTCAAGAAGATAAAAGAAATCATGTTACTCGGTTGCTTTAATAGTATCAACTACTTAGTGCAAGTTGCTTTTTCATTTTCAGATGACTGATACAATGCCTGTATTTATGTTTTGTTCAGTATAAGTGCTCAGAGAACACCATATGCACTACTTCAGCATCCTCAGGATAGGACCATTTTCAAACAAATTAAATGAGTAAGGGGTAAATCTTTCCTAAATTACAAATGACCACATTAGAATTGATCTCATTTTAAATAACCATCCTTCTGCATTAAGTTTGTTGAGTTTGATTTTCAGGCAATTTCTCTACTTCTTTCCCATATTGTTAATAATCACTGACATTTATTGTCTGCCTATCATGTGTCTGCACTGTGTAAATACACCTTTAGAAACATGACTTCATTTTTTCCTCCTAGCAACCCTTTGAAGTAGATCTTGCTTGTTTTTACAGATGAGGAAACCTAGGCCCACAAATCTGACAGCTTACCTAAGGTTTCTCTTCTGTAGCATTCTTACTAAGAAACTTTCACTTGAATGAGCAGAGTTCTTCAGAACACTGACTTGAGCATAATGTTATAGTAAAGCCGCCGGGACTTAGAGGAAGTAAAGGGTCTCCTTCCACTTCTGAGGAGGTGCTCATTTTTCATTCCCAGCGGCTCTCCTTCCCTGTGTACACTAAAAGATTCTCTAAGATCATCACCATTGTCCTGATATCCATCGGGTTTTTGTTCTTCTGCTCTAGCCAAGTACTGGTATTATCCTGACTGCCTTTGTGAACCCTGCAGATTAGGAGCAAGTTTTGTGGGGCATTCATTTTTGGTTTAGTTTTAGCCTGAAACTGGAAATCATACCTTAAGCCAAATGTTGAATGTGAGCTTAATAGAAGTCTGTCTTATGTCTTAGACTGTGGTCTTTTAAGAAACATACCATTTATTCCTAAAGAAAACAGAGTTTGAATTTGGCATTCCTAAACTTGTGCGTTAGCCTGTTAGCAAATGCAGTGAGTACATCGCTCACTTCTGGAGCACTTGCCAGTCTAACCATTCTGACTTCACAAGATGTAGAGGAGAAGATACACACTGGCAATCACTTTGACTTTGCTGAGATGTCACAACTAGTAAGTAATAGAATTCTTACTGGAACCAGTTTTACTGATCCTTATTAGTTCAGTAGTTGCCTGCCACATGATTTTGAGTGTTTGGTTGAGAGCCCTACTAGAAAAGAAAATGTTGAGTGTACCTTTTTTTATGAAATACATGGTTTCTTGAATTTTTTCTTACTTTGAGATAGTATCTGTAATCCATATGTTCATTTAAAAATGCAATAGGAACACTGCTTCTCCCCCCCCACACACACACGTGCACACACAGACAAGCCAGTGCTAACTTTGAGTTAATGGTAAACAGAGCATTCGAGTTCTGCCCTATTGTCTGTAATTCTTGCTAGTGGAAGCCTTCTCTTTTCTGGCCATAATCAAGGTGGCCATTTAATTTTTAACATATGGCCATTAAGTTTAGTTAGTCTTTGAAAATCTTTAAAAGTTTCGCCATATATATAAATTAAAAATATCCAAATTGGTAGTAGTTACTTTGCATTGCCAGCTACTTTCCAAAACAGAAATTTGGAAACTTAAGAATATTGTTGCCATAGACAAAAAACTAAGAAAGAGACTTCTAACTATAGAGAACAATCTGGTGGTTACCAGAGGGTACGAGGTAAGGGGGAAAATAGGTGATGGGGATTAAGGAGTGCGCTTGTCCTGATGAGCACAGGGTAATGTATGGAAGTGTTGAATCACTATATTGTATACCTGAAACTAATATAACACTGTATATTAACTATACTGGAATTAAAATATTTTTAAATAAATATTTTAAAAAATAGAACATTGACAGTAATGTTAAAAAAAAAAAAAAAAAGTGTTGCCATCCATGATGCCAGATGCCTCAGATAGGTTGCCTCAATAAATAGCTACTAATTTAAAATAGTTGAAATCTGTCAACCTCAATGCTTATGTCCCAGATTTAAATAGAAGGCAAATTATACTTGTAACTATTTGCAAATTAATATAATTAATATAGAAATACGGTAAACTTGTGGAAAGTAAAGGATTCTCTGCCAATAAAAAGGAAAAGAGGGTAATTCCTGTCCCTCTTACTGTTTTTTCTGTTTAATTTCAACTAAATTATTTTTATTAAAAAATTACTGAAAAATGTTTTAAGTAATTATTATGAACAAAGAGAGGACTTTGTGTTTTTAAATTTTGGCTTTGTTTCTAACCTATTTTTAGAACATAAAATAATGTAAAAATGCATTTATAATATATTCCATCCATGCGAGCAGATTTTCCAGAAGCTCAATTGAGTGAGTTTGATCATTGCAGAACTGAAAAAAAAAATTGATTACAGTTAACACAATGTGTGAGTTGCATTTTTGTATGTGGGTTTTGTGTGAATGGCCCAGTTTTGATGAGCCTCCTTGGTTATAGTACAAAATATTAACCCCTCCCTCATGCAGAGACCAGAAGAAACCATTCCTATCTCTGTAGAGCTGTTCTTGCTAAAATATATTTGTATTAATAACAAACCTGAAAAATAATTAAAAGCCTGAATATATGGATATTCTTTCTGAGATACAGATTTTTTTTTTATTTAATTTTGATTCACTTATAGCAAATTTTATATTTATTAGAGCTCTGGTTTCACCACTAACTAGAAAACAGTATTGGCTGGCTTCTCTGGAGTTCTTCAGAGTCGTTCTTTGAGCCATCACACAAAAAGAATTATCTTTGGTGTTTAAAAAAAAAAAAAAAAAGCAAGTTCCAAGTGAAGGCAAGGACAGTAGGAGGGTGGAGAAGATGGACTGAGGCTTGAATAGCTGTGAGAAAATTGGACTACCCAGTAAGCCCAGCTCTGAGCTCCCATCCTTGAAGACCTGGGAGGTGAAATTCTTGTGCTGGTATGGTTATCATTAATACGAGTCAGTGCTTTAGCAATTTTTAAAGTTTGACTGTAATTTTTCTTAACATCTGTAATGGCCCCAAAGCATGTGGTGTTGAAATATATTGGAGAATTTTGCTTCTGTTTATTCTTTTTAGTGACTGTTCTATAAAATGGAAGTTGAGGAAAATGTCTCAAGGAGAAAGTTGTGTCTTAAATGGTGATTGCCTTTCTTAGAAGGTGTATCTTTGCTACCTTGTTTATGTGACGGTTTTAAATTATGATTTAATACAGCATACCTGTAGCTTTGTATCTGTAAAGTTAAAATAGGCACTTGAAGACAATTGAAACATTTCTTTTGACTAGTAATCTGGGCCGGCAAACTGGGTTATAATAGCTGTTGAATCTGTGTTCCCATGTAAACTGTACACCAAATGCCAGTCAGCCCATGCCAATTAGTGCTCATGTTGCTAGGTCACCATGGTCAATTGTAAGCTGCATCAATAGAACTTGAAAAGATTTCCTCCTGATCAGACCTTTTGACATATTGAGCAGAATAATGGATGGGAAAAAACAGCCAAGTCCCCTACCCTAGATTCAAAATACTGAGCAGTAAGAATTCATTTACAACCTGCAATTAACTAGAAAGAATGGACTCCCAAGAACGAGTCTAGACATTTTTAAAAATCAAGCCCATTTTCCTGTCTTGTACATGTTTACACTTCGGATAGCATCTTAAATGTAGCCACCTCGGTGATCTTGAGTCCAAATCTTTGGGTAACCAAACAGAAATTTCACAGTTGAAAATGAGCAAAATATTTTAAGTCCTACCTTTCTGATTCAATGGAGTTTAAGTACCTTTTTAAAAACTGGTGATACTTTATGAAACATGTTAGACTACGTTGAATATGAGGGACATAAATGTCACTCTAATACTGTATGTCCCATTTGACAAATGGCAAATTAGATCATCCTAAGATTTGGAGATGATGCTGGATAGTTTGAGACAATGGGATGTATAACAGATATGACTCCTAATGCCAACATGATTCTTCTCCACAGAGGCGTTGGGGCTGAACCTCTGCTGCCATGGAACCGGATGCTCCAAACCCAAAATGCAGCCTTCCAGCCAAACCAGTACCAGATGCTAGCTGGACCCGGCGGGTATCCACCCAGACGTGATGATCGTGGAGGGAGACAGGTGATACAGCGTGGGCCATGGGACAAAAAGCCTGCTGCTCACTTTATACTTAGCATATTTTCTTAAAAACATTTCTGGAAAAGGTCACTGATAGAGTAGCTCAGCTGAACTTGGCTCCCTCATTGTAAAATGTATATAGGGTGATAATCTGCCTTACTAAAATCTGTTACACCATGAAGAATTTTCATCCCCAAGGCTCTTTCAATCATAGCAGTCAGTGGTATTTAGCACAAATAGGGCCAGTTGCCAAAACCTATTTTTTTTTATCATTTAAGGATGTTGTTCTTTAAGTAGAAACTAGATCTCATGATAGATATTAATGTTCTAGAAACTGAAAGTAAGAATCTATCCTTTTAACCTTTTAACCTTATTCATCTTAGAAGTCTCCTATCTTGATTCATCAAATACCCTTTTTCATGGAAAGAAATCTCTCCTTCATCATACGTTTTTTGTTTTTTGTTTTTTGTTTTTTTTTTACCAAATTTAAATAGCCATAATTGATTCAGTATAATAATTCCTAGACAAATTTATTTGGTATGTGTAAGCTTCACTTTCTTCTCTGTAAAGCATCCGGTTTTAGCATATTTAAGCCAGAGGTCTGTTTGTCTCAGTCTATTTGTCCACCAGCCATTTGACACCCTGGTCAGTATTTACATGCTCTGCAATCAAATCCTAGCCAGAGAACAGGGTCAGAATGCTGCAATTTAGTGTTTTAGTGTGTGTGGTGTTCATGGAGTTTGGCACCTGCGGTGATGTGAAGTGGTTTTAAAATTGCTTACCTGGTATTGCCAGCAGGTCTTTTGCAGTGCTTTGAATATTAATTTTCATATGCAGGTTCTTGCCATGCATCACTTTATGTAAGACTGCTCTTTTGACAGCTAAGAAAAAAAAATTATACTTTTTTGTGTGTGTTCTTATAAGTGTTCACTTCACAAGAAAATAAATCATTTTAATTATCTTTTGAGAGAATTTTGTTACAATCCATTAAAGTCTGTTCATAGACTTTACTTTGAACACTGTCAGCCCAAGATGTCTAAAAATCCCATCAATCGTTTGAGACTATTTATGTTAGAGAGTTGATGGGATGATACTAGGCAGTCTAAATAATGAGTATTATTGAAATGGGGACATACTTATAAACTAGAAAAAACCCTGGAGAATCTTCAGTCCAACCACCTCATCTTCCAATTCGGAAACTGAAACCACGTGGTGCCTGCACTTGGGCAACAGAGTTGGGGCCTGGCTGCCCTGTCCTTCTGATCATGGTTCATCATGTTTCCCATCTCCTTCAGAGGCCTCCTTGTAAGGGACTCTCTGCTGTTATAGCAGGTAAAATAATTATTCACTTAGAAGATATAAACTAGTTGGTAAGTTTGTAATTCTTTTAGGACCTTTTAGAAATACATTTCTTTTTCTCAATCTCTCTTTTCATGGAGATACTTTTTATTAAATCACAGGTTTTGAAACACTATTAATTGCAGAAGTTCATTGTTAAAAACAATGTTAATTATGATCCCCACTGTATTTTAGTGAGGTTTATATGACTCATAATTTAAACTACTCCGTGACAACATGCGGGCAGGACAGTCTGTTTCAGAATCCTGGAAGCCTAGAAAGGAATTTTGATGGAATCTTATGTTGTGCAGAAATGTTATTTGCAAGTCTACTAGGATATGTTATGAATGTCACCGGTAATTGTTCATGTAACAATCTAATGTGTTACTTAATACTCTACAATTTATAGCTTAAAAAAAAAAATCCCTAAAATAAGTAGTTCATTAGGCCTCAACTCACTTAGCAAGCTCTTGCCTTGGTTAAGCAAAAATGACTTTTCTAGTGTAGTATGTCTAAAGATGATGTAGGCATCTTACTACAGTGTGGCTTGAATTAATGCCAGGGATGGCAGGGAAGATTGAGAACCACAGAACACTTAACTATAGTTCATTTGTGTACATTGTAGGGAATTTCTTCAGTGCCTGTAATGGCTCATTTGGGTAGTTTTCAGCAGTAGCATTTGTGCTGGAGTCCAGCCTTGCAACGAGCTTTGCATAAAACTGGGGGCCCAAAGCACCTATTTATGAGACACCTTCCATATGATATACTTTTAAGACCTATTCAGCTTCTTTATGGTGTGTTTTTCCAGAGCAATGTAAAATTAATTTCTTTGCAGAGGTGTTAATCCAGAAAATAAACTCTTGCTTTTGCTTATTTTCAGGGATATCCCAGAGAAGGAAGGAAATACCCTTTGCCACCACCCTCAGGAAGATACAGTTGGAATTAGGCTTTTGTAAAGCTTTCCCAAATCCTTTCATCGTTCTACAATTTTATGCTATTTGTGGAAAGATTTCTTTCTCAAGTAGTAGTTTTTAATAAAACTACAGTACTTTGTGTATTTCTTTTAACTGTGTATATTTCTACTGATCTGATCTCACTGTTTATGTTGCTTTCCAAAGATGTGTGTTGCATAATACAGTGGATCTGAATTTATTATTGCTTGTAAAACACATTTGATGGAATAGGAATACTGGTTTTTCATTATGGTTAAAAATCAAACCAGCTGTGGATTTTAAAACACAGTGTATTCTAGATCATCTGAGATCCATGCTGATTTTTAATGCACAAGAATTAGGTATGAACTCTTGAGTTGGAACCCTCAGCCAACTAGAGTATATATTGTTCAGTATTTCTTTGGAAACATTTCATTAATGTACTTGTCTTACGAAAATTTCTGAACTTTAGTAAAAAAAAAAAAAAAAACCCTCTGGTCTCCTGTGTCCTTATTCTTTTATAGTTTTTAAACATTGAAAATCTTGGCCAAATGTGTTTTTTTTTTTAAGTCATTTTTTTCAGAAAACTATTTCTATAATTAGATGTCAAAAGAAAACCAATGTAGCAAGAAAACCCAGCCGTCTCCTATATTAATAAGTATGTCAGCTATTGATTTGACTATACCTTCTCTGTGAGAATAAGTTAACGTACATTTTATAAACTTCATGTAGACTTGTACTCCAGTTTTAAGGACTTGTTTTAAATCTTTAAGGTGAAAAGTTTAATTCATAGCTAATTAGTCTGTACTCCTTAGCATGTTTTTTACGTTATAATAGATTTGTTTTCACTCATTTTTTTTCTTGCTACTTAGCACACTGTTATTACTCCTTATATTTATGCTTGGATTTCACACATGGCACTTGCACATGCGTTTTCACTTGTTTGCCAGGACAAATTTACACACACACACACACACACACACACGCGCGCGCGTGCCCGCTTGCTGCTTTGTTTCCATTTGCCTGTTCTAGCCTAAGATTGTAGAAAAAGGCTTCTCTTTGACCTTCTGACTTCGGACATTTTTGCTTTAATATTTCAGCTAAGGCACACTTGTTACTCTTAGCCTATGTGGAAAAAAGGCCACCTTAACCTTGAATAGGAAGTTATTTTGAAGCTATTGAGTTCTTTGCTGGTGATGGGTGAATAGAGTAGGGTCCTTTATTGTTGAGACAAAGCATCTCTCTGCTGGGCATTAACAACACAACTATTGTATATTAACCTTCACAATACATTAAAGTGATAACACCTTCTGTTCAATGTCTCTATCTTCCAAATACTACAAATGAATAGCCATCTAAATCAAGTATTGCATATTCCAAAGGAGCCCATATAAATGTCTTCCTGTCTGTAGCTTTATAGACACCCCAAACGCACACTTTGACAGAACCTATATTTTCTCAGATCTTTTAGGTTTTAATTTTAAGCTATCATGAGCTTGTCTATAAAGTAATTGTTTTTGCTTGGCCTTTCAATTACGTGTAACTGTTAAGTTTGAAAACGAACGTTTAGAGTATTTTGAAGACATTTAAGCAAAAAAGCCTAATGGAATAGCTGTGCCTGCCTCCTAGATTCCCTCTTAGAGGTTTGGTGCCCCGCAGCACACCTGCCAGCCAGCTGAACCCTCACTTAACGGGCCTTCTCCGTTCCTTCACCCTTGCTACCTCTTCTCCCTTACTCTTCCTCTCTTTCCCACGTCTGAATCTGCCAGAAAAAAATGCATTCTATTCGACAAGTGTAAACGCTTTTTAGAACTTCAAATAGAATATTTAAAGCTATAAACATTCCCTCCGCATTCAGGTGTAAAAATAGTTAATGGGCCAGATTTCGATAATTTATTATATTATCTTTAAGACACAGTAATTCAGGGTCTAATATTAAAGATGCTTAAAATCTTGGAACATGAAAACAGTGACTTTATTGTGGCGCTAAGGGCCCTTAATGCGCAGTTGTCTAACCTTTAAAGATCAAATGAGGTGATGCACGTTAAAATACAAAGCCGTCTACAAACTATTAGCCATTTGGCGTTACAAAGGCAAATTGGGTGTAATGAGCGAGAGGTTAATGTTCTTGCCAGGGCGCGGGGTGTCTGGACCGGCGGGGGTGCGGCTGATGGTTCCAAGCTCCGGTGTTCCCCCAGGCGCGTTGGAGGTCGGGCGCACCTCCGACAGCGTCGAGGGCCCCGGGGCGCGGCGACGTCGCAGCCAGACGGGGATAGAGGCGACGCCCGGGAGCCGCGGACCTGGCGTGGCGGGAACAGATGCGCCGCTTCTCCGAGGCAAAGTCCCCCAGACCCACGGGGCACTGGCGGGCGGGGGAACGCTCGGCCCTCGGCGCACGTGGGGGTCGCGCCTGGCGCCCACCCGCTCCTCTCGGCCCTCGCGGCCCCGCCCGCCGGAGTCCCCCGTCCCGCCACTCTCCGGCCGCCTCCCCTCCCCCGCAAGCCTCCGTTTCAAGCAGGGCGGGCACGGGAAAGTTCAGACCCCCGACCTGCAGGGTGGCCTGTGTGTCGCGGCCCCCGCCTGGCCCAAAGCGGATCATTGCAGCAGCAGCAGCAGCAGCCGCCCTCGGTTCCTGGAGGCGGCGCCGAAGCTTCCCCAACCAGCTCGTTTCGCCGTCTCAGCTCAGTGCACGAATGCAAATACCGGACCCGTGAAGAGATGATGGAAATCTTCTTCCAAGGCTGCAGTTTTAAGTTCTAAGTCTGAACATAACCGAAGTGAGCTAAACTTAGAAATCTAAAATTTAGACGTTGTCTGATGAGTCAACACTCCCCATTCCGGACGGCAGAAAGCTGGCTGGTTCCGTCCGGCTAGTCCGGTACCTCTTCCCGACCGCCCCAGAGGATCATGGAGCTGAGATCCCGCCACACTGTTCCTGGCGATCGACTGTCCTACTATTACTGACCAGGAAAAAAGTCAACCAACAATAAAATGACAACCGCCCGTTCTCGATGGATTTTTCCTCCACGCAGCGTAACGTTAACTGCTTGTGTTGTTTCAAATTTCGTATTTATGGAATGAGGGCCAAAAGAGAACATGGTATGATTTTTGTATTTGAAATGGGAATAGAGCTATTCACTACTGCAAAATAACTCTAAGTTTGCACAACTTAGAGTTAGGCAGTATTAGTGGTTAAACCTTTATTAGAAGTCACTTAAACAATGACTGAAATAGAGGTTACAAGGGATTTTAAAAAATAGTCTTTCGGGGTGTCTGGGTGGCGCAGTCGGTTAAGCGTCCGACTTCAGCCAGGTCACGATCTCGCGCTCCGTGAGTTCGAGCCCCGCGTCAGGCTCTGGGCTGATGGCTCAGAGCCTGGAGCCTGTTTCCGATTCTGTGTCTCCCTCTCTCTGCCCCTCCCCCGTTCATGCTCTGTCTCTCTCTGTCCCAAAAATAAAATAAAAAAACGTTGAAAAAAAAAATAGTCTTTCATTCAGTTTTGGGTACACATTTTATCCAATTGCAGATAAATATATAAAGCAAAAACAGTGAAACCAAAAAAACTCTCCCAGAAGCTTCCACTACGTCCCAACTTTAAAATAATAAAAGTAATCTTGAAATTACAAAATTATCTCAATACTTACTAGGGAGAGGGAATTCCTGAAGGGATGTGAATGCAATTCCCATCTGCCATTTTCTCTGAATCTTCTCCAGATGTTCACCAGTTTCACTAGCAGTAAAAGGCTATTCCAAAAAAAATTTTTTTAATAAAATGTTTCCTAACTCTCTGTCTCATTGGGTTTGGACATGGGAAGTAGCAGCATTTTTAAAAAACTGGACTGAAATAGTTAACATATAGGGGTTTGTCCTCACACGTTAGTGTTACATTAAACAGTTGGGCAACATCATTTATGCTTTGAACAAATGAAATTTGTATTGCCACTACATAATGCATTATTTTATGCACAAACTGATATCTAACAATGCAGTCCGTGGGTCTTTATGTGATTGTGGTTCACAAATTTATTCCAAAAGTCTTTCTAAATCAGTATTCAATGCAGCTAACAAAGCAACTCTTTGGAAGGTGCTTGCACTTAGTGAACAGGATTCTCTGATTTGCTTTAAATTGAAAGTAAACAACTGATAGCAGGATGGAGTTTGAACACAACATCTGTGTTGATAAAAGTCTGATTGACTACTTGTTCTGACCATTAGGTTTTAATTCTGAGCAAAGCCTTAAATAGGAGACAACTGGGTTACACCCTCCACAAGTTCCATATACAAAACACCCTTCCTGTGTCCTTTAACACTGCACTGTCACACACCCAGTGGTTCAATTTGCATCCCGACACAGATTACAAAAAAAGTACCTGCAATCCCTGCTGTTCCTTTCTGAAACTTTGATTCTGGGTTTTTGTTTCCGTGTGTCAACTGGAAAAGATAAATTTGTTGTACAACCCCAAAACATTTTTTAAAAATACCACATCTGCAGTTAGCGTTTCTGGAACCAAGTTTTGCTGTGGCCTCTGCTAAACTTTAAGGGGGCTTTGTTCCTCTCAGACCCTGCGCGGGCCCTCCCTTTTGGTTGTGAAGACACTTATCCTCCTCTTCAGTTAATGAGTTTCACCTAGTCTGGCCATTTTTGTTGTTATAAAAGATCTGCAAAGCACTAATTGCAAAAGAAGGAAAAAAAGCTCTTGCTTTGCGTTAATCAGAATGTGGAATTCTTTAGCAAAAACATTTTCATGTTTCAAGAACATGAAACATTTCAAACACATGTTTCAAAAACATTTTAATGTTTCAAGAACCAAACCCTATCCTAATTTCAGGATGTGCACACATAAACTCAGTGCATTTCTGGGTGTAGAACATCAAGCCATCTGCAGCAGTTAGTTCTGGCAGTGGTTCCCTTACTATTGAGAGCAATGCTGAAAGGAAAAAGATACGCCTACAGCAAATACACTTTCAGAAAATACTGTATAAAGAAGGCTGTTTTTTGTTTTCGATTCAGAGTTCACTTAGTCTAAGAGACTGTTTGCTCTAGAAATAAATTA